CCGCTTATTAGTCGGTTGAGAATGACTATTCGCAGCCACCCTTGAAAACGTGGAAATCGGTATATCATTCCATAAAATACTAGTAAGCGTTAGCGTTTACTAGGAGTTTACGTGTAACAAGTGTATACTAAATTAACGTAGTGCGACTTCCCGTGTGGGCATCAATCACCCTGTGACAAGGCAGACGCGGGCGGTATAATTTTCAATTAACAGTACGGGTTCACCGTAACACGGGGCATGACCACGGACGCGTTGGCGCGCTTAAAAAATAAAGAATGAAGAAATATGTTGAATTTACGTTCATTTTACTAACGCACAACAGTCTTGTTTATCGGCCTTCTGTAATTGCAACTTATAGACTTCTTCGCACCTCACTGTGCAAAAACTCATAGAACGTATAGAGTATCTATCTTTCTCTTAGTTTGTTCATTATTCCTAAATTATTTCCGTTTATGTAAAATTATTTGCGTACTGTTTTTATCCGCTGTTCCCAAAATGATGTAGTACGTATGTTTTTTTAAGGGTGAAGCTGGTGCAACGGAAAACGCTATAATATATCATACACATACATAAGCTACGAGCGGTGGCAGGCGGCTGCTAACATAATACATCAGTTTATCTAAACACTATATTATTATCAGTCAAAGGACCAAGTGCTGGCCAATCTAACCACTTAAATTAGAATAATATAAGAAATGATAACGAATTGTCATTGCAACCATTGCCTCAACCGCACGACGAATAACGTTTTTCTACGCACGAAAAAGCAAACTAAATCGTAACCGAAATAAATATGAATCAAGTTGTGACTAATAATACTAATGATTTCATTAATATCGCACTACGATACCCAAAGCTAGATCCCAAGAGACAAGTAACCTAATTTTTTCCAGCTCTATTTAGTTGTAGACATAAGAATCTAAGCCGTGCATATATACTACCTGTAAGCAGAAGTACGATTCCTCTAGTATCATCGAAAGAAATGAAACTTTTTAAGGTATACATTCAGGGCAACGTAGGTGATATTCGGTCAAATATCAAATACCGCCCCGTTATTGATAGATGCGCCCATGGGCAGTTTATGTAAACGTAGATATTATATCAAAGTACATAAAAAGCATAAGAGTCAGATGAATAACACATGATAATGTGTAATAATCTACTCTGATAAGTACAGATACATACAGTCCTTATATGTCACTCTCTGGATATTGATGTATGTAGGACTCCCAAACAGCCTCCCAAAATTGCCCGCAATACGCTGTTTACCTGGCACTATGCAAGACCCAAACTCCACGACAGATGGCGCTCGCTCGCTCTGGCTCAATCTTACCTGAGGTTACCACTGAACACAAACTAACTAATATAAGTTAGTTAGTTCATGTTGTACCTGAGTGTGGAAGGGGGCGCTGGCAATGCAGTTATGATGCAAAACCCCTGGAACGCCTTTTAAATAGGACGTCATGACGCGGCGCAATCCCAAAATATACTACGTGGGCACCCTTAGCCAGCGATGCGAATCAAAACGCTGCTAACAGCTGCGTTGATCTCGGGGGGGGGGGGAGGCAAC